CCCTGGGTTCAGGCAATTCTCCTGCCTCAGCCTCCTGAGTAGCTGGGATTACAGGCACGTGCCACCATGCCCAGCTAATTTTTTGTATTTTTAGTAGAGACAGGGTTTCACCATGTTGACCAGGATGGTCTTGATCTCTTGACTTCGTGATCCAGCCGCCTCGGCCTCCCAAAGTGCTGGGATTACAGGCTTGAGCCACCGCGCCCGGCCGAAACCCCATCTTTAAAAAAAAAAAAAAGAAAAGAAGCAGTATTTAAAGGCTGCTTTTAAAATGCATCTCACTCTTTAAGAAAAAAAAAAGACTCTAAACCAGGTGCCATGGCACTCACCTGTAGTTCCAGCTACTTGGGAGGCAGAGGCAGCACAATCATCTGAGCCCAGGAATTCAAGGCTGCATGAGCTTCTGTGCTCCAGCCTGGGCACCATAGCAAGAAACCGTCTCTAAAAACAAACAAACAAACAAACAAATTCTAAGATAAGTATTATTACCTCCATTTTACAGTAAAGAAAACAGACTTGGAGAAACCCAAGCACCCAGACCACAGCCACAGTCTCTGTGAGCAGCAGAGCCAGAAACTGAATGTGGGCCACAAGACTTCAAGCCCATGCTCCACACTCTTAACAATTACAGAGTTTGTTTGTTTGTTTGTTTTGTTTGTTTGTTTTTGAGACAGGATCTTGCTCTGTTGCCCAGGCTGGAGTGCGGTGGCACAGTCACAGCTCACTATAGGCTTCACCTCCTGTGATCAAGTGATCCTCCCATCTCAGCCTCCTGAGGAGCTGGGGCTACAGGCATGTGCCACCACACCTGGCTAATTTTTGTAATTTTTTTATTTTGTGAGACACAGGGTCCCTCTACATTGTTCATCTCAAACTCCTGTTCTTAAGCAATTCACCTGCCTTGGCTTCCCAAAGTGCTAGGATTATAGGTGTGAGCCACCACACCCGGCCTGCAGAGTATTCAGATTGTTATTCATATCTGAACGTGTTTTGATTTTGCCTTTCAGTGCTATAGGAGGGATTTATTTTATTTTATTTTATTTTATAGATGGTTCAAAAAATTTTAGTTAGTCTTTTGTTATTTAGTTTTATTACATTGTATTCAGAAAATTTGGCCAAACTTTTTCTACTTTCAGGAATTTATTATGGCTTAAAGATCTAACACTTGGTAAATTTTTGTATTTATTCCATACAAATTTGAAAACAATGTTATTGGGCCGGCCACAGCAGCTCACGCCTGTAGTCACAGCACTTTGGGAGGCCGACGCAGGCGGATCATCTGAGGTCAGGAGTTCAAGACCAACCTGGTCAACATGGAGAAATCCCATCTCTACTAAAAATACAAAACTTAGCCGGGAATAGTAGTGCCCACCTATAATCCCAGCTACTGGGTGGGCGGGGGGGAACCTCAGGCAGGAGAATTGCTTGAACCTAGGAGGCAGAAGTTGCAGTGAGCCCCCAGCCTTCAAAACAGAGAAGACTCCGTCTCACAAAAAAAAAAAAAAAAAGAAAAAGAAAATAATGTTTTCAAGTATAAATTATAAA